CGTTTACATGGATAGTCCTCAAATAATTTTACCACATTCAATCACTTGCACGTAGAATAAAACGGAACTATGACAATAATAAACCAATTAGCAACAAAAGTTTAAAGGTGGTTATTAACGAGTCTCTTTATATAAATAATATTGAAATTAACACTGTTTTTCTCCTTTGTAAAATATCATCAGTTTTACTGCCTGATGTGTCGTGTGCCATCAGCATGCGGGCTATCATGGATCTCCACAACTTCCTATCCTCTGTAGCATTTAATACAGTTTATCGTTTTTCTATTCCTCCTAGTTTCTCATTTGACATCTATTTACACCAAGTTCGTTGAATAGGTTACTTCTTGTTTCCCTTCGTTCCTCTTGCTTTCAATATCTATATATAAAAAACAGAGGATGTCTGTGTGTCTGTCTACCTGTGTGATACTTTTTCACTCAAGATCCATCCAACCGACTTTGATCAAACTTGGCACATACATTGTACAATAATCAATAAAGCCGATTAAAAATCGATACATTGAACTTGTTTCCTCCGATTTTGTTCAAACTCAGTATGTAGGTTACTTACATCATGATGAGCTCAACGATACCTTGTTTTTATTTCTATGCCACTGCGGTGAGCGAAAAACAAAAAATCGATTTCAACACAAATTTTAAACTAAAATCTCTCTCAATTTTCAAGCAATCTTATACAAACTTTACTCAATTGTAGCCAACAATAAGTTGATTGTTTAACAGTCATTTAACTTGATAACTGAGTCCACCCATATATTGATAACCCGCGTAAATTGCGAAAAATGTCGATTTTTACTGGTTTCTTTCTTATTTTTCATTGATCTTTCAACCAATTTTCATCAAACTTAACAATTGCTTTATAAATGCATCCTCTTTTACATCCCTGGTAACACATTGACAAATTGAATTTTAAAAAATCCAAAATAATTGTGGTCTGAAGTGGGTCTTCATGTTGCCTGTTTTACACCTTCATGTCCTCGGCTAACTTCGATTGAATAAATACAGACTAATTCTGTTATATCAATAACTGCATTCATTCAAAATGTTTTTTAATGAAAGTACTTTAAAGTAATTGAAGAAGATAGACTCTGTTACATCTAAATATGATGCTGTTTTTGCTCCATTCTAATTGAACTTTTTTTTCTGATCGACCAGTTGGGTATGGCTGCTAGTGTTAAGTATAAAATTCTCCAAGCCATTTTTTCTCATTAATGTGTCCCATAAATTTAAACTTCAAGTCTCTCTGACATAAATGTCTTTTTGTTTCCATTTTCCAAAACTAGAGTGCTGCTTTGCGCTTGAACAAAGCCTCGGTGTTGATTGAACTTGTGATTCAGATTAACAGAAAAAGCAGGACAAGCAACAACTAACGTCTTTCTTCGCCATTGTTGCCTTTTTTTTTTTTAGCAAATGTTTGTAAGGCCAGTTGATAATGTTAAAACATTTTTGTCATTGGTTGAAAACCAGAACACGGATACAGCTAAGACTAGAGAACAATAAAAAATAATAACAATAACAATGTCAAGTGTCTTAGGATATCTTTTTAATCTATGTTTATTTTTATTGAACATCTGGCTGATATTTAAGAAGGAACGAATGCAACTTTTTTCGCGACAGCATTTATAAATGTTGCGTCACGTAGAGGAAGAAAACAAAGCACGCGTGAAAAAAGAAAATTAATATTCTTCAACTGACGTCGCTGGAAAATCGTCAAAAAACAGAGAAAAATTTTAATTTTAATTCTGATTTGTTGTCTTTGCTCACCATGGAAACTAGAACCCGGATTTAGCATTCACCGATGAAAAAACTTCCCTGTGGTCGGCACGGGATGGTCGGGAATTGGGCCAGCTACTACGCAATTGCAATACACATTCACGTCCTCGAAGATGTTATATGAACTCTGGACTGACTCACTCGGTAAAAACGTTGGTCTTGTTAGTTGTCATAAATGATCACAGTTACTGCCTAAAAAAAAAAGGCAAGGGCTTATGGAACCAATATTAAGAAAGAAAATTTAGAATTGATTTTGCTAATATTTAGAGTCCTTTTTTATTATTATTCTTTGAACATTAAACATCAGAATATTAAGGAAAATCAGACATAATTCATGTTATTAAATATCGAATACTTACAATCATTTTCTGTTACGCATAAACGTCTTCCGCGGCCTCTGTTTAATGTCATTTACTATTTATAGAGATTTAAATTCTAAATGGTAATTACTAATAGGACGTGCAGGTAGTGTAGTGGGTATCAACTTAGAAAGGGGAATCGACGAACTAAGTTCGAATTCAGGGACCGTTTATTGCGAAATACTGAAGTCGATACCAAAGAGGAAAGTTCATCAGACCAACTGGCATGAAAACATTTATAGAAAAGGCTATGGTGGAAAAGTGTTAGAAGCGGAGATGCCAGATCAGGACTGATAACGTTGCATATTTTTCTCTGAATTTTGTCAATAATTTCTGAAAACATAGCAGATGCACTAAATCACATGCCGTGTGTGGGGGGGATGTTTGCAGTGAATCTATATATTATAATATATATGACAATTTCGAAAATTGGTGACGTATAATGCAGTCAAAAATAACAAATGGCCATAGTTAAATTCGAACTGCTGTTGCCAAAGGATCTCCTGTGGCCTAATTGGTAATGTAGTCGTCGCGTTAAGACAATGTTTGTCGAGGAAAAGGGGTGCATGTACGTGTTTCGCTGATTAACTATTCTTTCTTTTAGATACTCTTTGCGTGGAATAACGAATTGAAAAGTTGCAATAAAAAGCAACTGAAATTAAGATGAAAGAAATACTAAAAATAATAGTAACGTATCTTCGCTATAATTTTTATTCAAACCCCAAAACTGGATTTAAGCATAAAGAGCTGTGAATGACTTTTAAGAGGGTTACTAAGATTGTGCAGCGACAGAATAGACTGAAAAGATCAAGACTTTCAAACCTTTAGCCTAATTTTAAAATAACGTTTCCCTGTCATATTTGGGTATCACGTGTACCGATTGATATGGCCAACCCGATATTCGATTCTGTTGCAGTTTTATTATTTATTTGAAAATATAAGCTGGCAAATTAGCACGGTCTACCGCCACAAACAAGTCTTTATTCGCAAGGGTCCAGTGAAAAAAAAGCCAAAATCGATATTTCATTTGCTACATGTTAATACTGTCTCAACGCCAATAATAATAATAATGAAACGAAAGCTATGATCTGTTTCCTTCGCTAGTCTGTGTTTAGTTTTACCAATTAATGAGTCTGTGTTGTATCGACTATCCACTCATGCGTCAACGTATCATGCTTCATCTGAGAAAAAAATTCTCTTATTTAACAGACTGACCACAGGTTCAAGCTTAGGTTGAAACCTCCTTCATTTTCAGCGCGTCAGTATTGTGCATAAATATTTCAATACATTTGATATTAGTTAAATGCGATCGATTCAGTACGGAACGAAAATATTAACAATACTCCAAGTTTAATTTAGTCTGATACAAAGTCAAGGGGTGGGATGAAAGTAAAAAGATGAAAGTAACTTCGGGGAACAAATTCTTTGTTAATATTTATTTAAGAAACACGAGATATTAAATAAAATTTACATCTGGGCCGGATATAAATTAACTAATGACTTAAAAAAAATCATGTAATTTCGCTCGTACGTGAAATAAGCAATTACAAATAACGTAATTTTTTCGTCATTACAACGCTAATATTATGCAATCTGCGCTTGCACGCACGAGTATACGTGCGTACATGTGTGTGTCAGTGTGTGTGTGGGGGGTCTGTGTGTATGCGTTCTGTTTAAATTTTAAGAAGTTTATATATTTTTCTTTCCAGTGAATAAACTGTTATTGAGCCTCTAAGTCACGTTACCTCCTCACTAAAGGGATAGAAAGGATAAGATAGATAGATAGATAGATAGATAGATAGATAGATAGATAGATAGATAGATAGATTTTCTTGTTACTCCAAACGTTAGATACATTTAAGTCATGTAATTATAACTATTATTTCACAATAATCTATTGTTTTATATTATTTATTTATAATATATATAATTTCTTTAATAAAATAATACATTTTTAAATAAACGTTAGATTACCTTTCAAGCCTGCTCAATATATTCGTTCAGCATCCTAAATGCATATACCTCCCAAGTTTACTTAGTGGCTAAGATAGTTACGTCCTTTCAACCTGCATCATTTTTTACATCCCGATAAAAGCCAGGAATTCAAATGCTGATTTTTAATATAACATTCCTAAAGATATAAAGATGTCACATATGGTCTGGAGCCCCTTCTGTTCGCCTCGGGGTTCTTGATAGGCTCCAGAGGCGGATATGCAATATAATTGGCCCTGTTCTGGCATCTCGTCTACAGTCGCTCTCTCACAGACGCGTCGTCGCCTCTCTCTGTCTTTTTTTACAAATACTTTCATGGTAATTGCTCCGAGGAGCTGCATTCGCTGGTTCCCAGACTTCATGAATTCAAGCTCCTTACGAGGCTGGCATCCCGCTCTCACCCTTTCACTGTCGAAACTATTAAATGTAGCCGTCTCTTCTACCCCAATAGCTTCATATCTCGCACCTCTCGCCTGTGGAACTCCCTTCCCTATTCCAGTTTCCCTGAGAGCTATTACCTCCAACTATTCAAATGTAATGTCAATCGACATCTCCAGTTGCCTCGATCTATCCACTATCCTTCTCCTCATCCTTTCCTCTATCACTCCTATCTGATCTTGCTCCAAATCTTCTGTAACCCCTTGCGACCTGGTGGCTTCCCGACTTGCTTGGGGTGAAACGCTTAAAAAAAATACAACATAGACCTGAAGAAAGCAGAATATATCGGCCGAAACATTGACTGATTCGTTTTCTACAGCTTATCAACCGTTTGCCGGTTATTTTAAGCTGAAATTGGAACTCCGCTCTCCCATTAACAATTCAGAGCCATTATCCTTTACACCACCCTCACATCCAAGCTTAGAGCACCTGGCCTTCCCAAACGGTCACCCATCTAAGTACTAACGAGACTCGACGCTGCTTAACATTGGTGATTGTACGAGAACCGGCGTATTAACGCTAGTCGGTTTGCTTTACCATTGAGTCAAACATGAAACTGTAACTATACACTTTTTAAACATTGAATTTTTTTAGTTAAGTTTCTAACAACTTGTATGCACTCGGCGACATTCAGCATGAAATATTTAATTATTGTATTTAGCATTAGTTAACTTAAATGTCATTCCTTAAAATATGATCAATTTAAACTCGATATTGTTATCTGAAAACGTTTGGGCTAAAACTTGAAACATTTTCTGAAAAACATTTCTTCTAATTTCTCACACAAAGTGTATTTAATAGCTTCTTTTTTATTGTCATCGTTTAAAAGGTTGTAAGAACAATTTTATTCTCTCTCTCTCTCTCTCTCTCTCTCTCTCTCTCTCTCTCTATCACACACACACACACACACGCACACACATATATTTTTGCGTTTGGATGTCTAGTAGGCATTTTTATTTATGTCTGGTCGTGTCTGTGTGTTGATTGGGGATGTCTTGTGTGAGAGTGAAAGAATTTAGTTGAGACCGGCTGTGGCTGTAGGTATATACAGTGTGTTTATTGATGGTAAGATATTTATCAGGATTCCTTCTAAGTATTTTCGAAAAGACCTTTATAAATTATGCTCTTTTCGAATTACGATGCCATTTATTTAATCGAAGTAACAGCGTGTTTTGTTTCTGTTTTGAATTCGCTCTTAATACACGTTCAAACGCACATAGATTATCTATTTAAATTTAATGCAGGCTCATAAATATTCATCAGGTTCACGGAAAAGTCTAGATAAGTTATGGAAGATGTTAAGTGTCGTAATTAAATGTCTACTAAATGAAAATGAATAAATGATGTTGTCGAAATATATAAAAAATAGCTATCATTACTTTCTCAGACCAAAATAAATTATTAAATAAAAGATCCGAGCTCATCTCAAAATGCAGGCATGAAAATAAATTTTTACTACGTAACCTAAAAAATGAAAAACGGAAAAAATAAAATAAAAACAAATAAATACACTAATAAAAATAAAAATAGAAATAAAAAAATAAATAAATAAATAAATACTATGTTGCTTAAAAACTGAAAACCGAAAATATACAAGTAAAATAAATTGACCTAAATTCATCCAAGTAAATAAATAAACAAACCAATCCCAAATAAAGATAATCAATTAAAACCTGTTCCCGCCAAAATAATAGCTAAAATGAACCACAACAATCAACCCCAAAAATTGAACAAATAGCTTTAATTAAACTCTCAAACCAAACCAAAACTGTTAAATAAGTGATATAAACAAATTTTTACTACGTTAATAAATAAATAAATAAATAAATAAAATAAGAAACAAAAAAATAAAAACAAGCAATATAATTTGACCCAAATAAATAAACAAACGACTTCCAGTAAAATAACCGCCATAATAGAATACCCACAATGCACCACTAACCCGTATATATATAAATAGCCGAGAAAAATAACAGCATATGTGGCCTGACGATTGCATATAGCATGAAACAGACTGTCGCCTCTAAGTGTTGACTTCTATGTTCACTTTTATATATTTACACGCTCTATCTCTGATATTGAGCACTTTATTCCATAAATATAGGATACCTTAAGACTATATTTATTTATATATATATATATATATATATATATATATATATATATAATAAAAAGGCTTAAACACTAATATTCCATGGTTATAATTTATTACATTGGAATAGTAATTACGTTCAATTCATCAGACCTACAAATTCAAAAAAGAAATCGGAAAAAATAACTCCGGGAATAAAAAATGAAATTTGGTGAGACAGTATGTATTAGAGTGTTTATATATATATATATATATATATATATATATATATATATATATATATATATATATATATATATTGAACAATAAAAAATATTAAAAAATTTAAATCTTCAGACACTAGATTCTAGATTAATATTCTTTCGTTTTTTTTTTTTGTTTTTTTTATTATTTAAGTTAGATTCCTCGACTAGTTTAGTATTAAGTAAAAGAAGTTTAGGTTAGTACTACACGCACTTATAAGAATCCAATAAAACACCTATAGTAAGATAAAATTAATACGAAAGGCTAGATGTAAGCTTTTGAATGACCCATGTCCTTTGTACTTACATGAGAAACAATATATTACTAGGTTTATATATATAAAAAATAAAAGTTTACTAAATCAGTGAAATTAAGTAACTATTTTTGACGTCATTGTCATAAATTTTACTTAAATAATATAAAAAAAATAAAAATAAAATAAAAAATGTAACCTAATATACATATACTTGATGTAAAAATAATCCTACATAATATAAGGGATTCTAATACATTTAACTGTTCTTAAAAAAATATAGTATAATAAAAATTAAAAATGAGAATATTTCAAATCGTAGTTAAATAAAAAGTATTCTAATCTGAACACCCCCGAAAATCTTTAAATTTACAAATAGAAAAAAATGCCGTAAGATTTTTTTTGCCGTTAACAATAAATTTAAAAAAAATCCAGACGACATGCATTCAACGGATGTCAGTTCTCATTAAAAAATACATCCCTACCCCTTACTAAAATGTAGCTAATAACCGATACAATGATACAGACATAAGGAAAACCCAGAAACCCCTTGTCCAGTTGAAGTAGCTTTATCTGTAACCATGGAAACGTGATTTTAGCTGTGTCTTTAAAACCCAGTAATTTTAAAAGTTACTCCAAAATTCGCTTGGGGATGAAATGGAACTAATGTCTTTAATTTAATTGCAAAATTAAATTCGTGGCTTTTAGCTTCCATTTTTGAAACATGGTTAGAACTGTGTAGCGGAAAAAAAACAATATTTTAAATCAATTAATTTATAATATTAATGCTCTGTAAATTTACATTGAGCACTATTTTTGTAAAAATAAAAATATCTATAAGAACACAGGATTATATATCTTACTGTTCTTTCTTTATATATATATATATATATATATATATATATATATATATATATATAATTCCATCATTTGAAAATTGCTTCGGCATGAAAATCCGAGTTGTGGATATTACGAATATTACTTATATTTATATATGTATATCCATATATATATATATATATATATATATATATATATATATATATATATATATATATATAAGGCATATGTGACACATGATCGGAAGGTCGCTTGTGGCAGGTAATTGACAGTCACCATACAGAGGGTTCATCCTTAAATCCACGCTGTCTATACTTACAAACGTTCAATCTCCGATCCTAATTACTATTACCCAATAAATATAGCAAATTTTAAACAAAATGTATGTATAAAGTGTGTGTAGATTTTTTTAACCTCTTTTTGAAAACCAGAAATAGGATAGAATATAGAGATTATATACACTGTCTGAAACCGTTTTTTTTGTTTTTTGTTGTTTTTTTTTCATTTTTTTTTCAATTAAAATCAATGTAATGTTTTTCGCACAACCAATTTACTATATATAAATGATTATTTATTTACAAAATTCTTCATTCATATAAAATTCTTGTGATTTTTTCTCGCGTAACTTTAGTCTTTTGGCTAAATACTTTGTATTCTGGTTTTGATTCGTTGGAATCTTCCAGGAATATGTCGATATTTCCAACTTTGCTGAACTCGCTGTCGAAACAATGCGTGTTGCATGAAACGAAAGAAGTGATTTCGTGTCTGAAGGTGACATGTTTGTTGGAATCTGCTGCCCATGGAAGAATTTCCCATGGTCACTCCATAAAAAGTCTACTCATATCCCGTTTACAACTTCAAATCGAGCGTTGTGATGCAGCAAAATCAATGGTTGACTTCCTTTGCTTCCCTTACTCCAAAAACATTTTTCTCTTATGTCATTCAAATGTCATTCAAATGTGCCAATTGCTCACTGTAGTATTTTTACGCAACAATTTGTCCAGGCTTCAGTAGTTTATTATAAAGAATTACATTTGAATCCCACAAAACTCAGGAAATATTTTCCATTGTAGTCTTTTGTTAGGTTAGATCGAGCTACCATTTTCTTTGTTTTCGGTTTATGTAATAAGACGAAATAATATTTGCCAATCATTTTTCCTGTGTCGAGCAAAAAATATTCCTGTAAAAAATGGTATTAGACACTCAAACCAAAATGGGAAAATCAGTTCTAAATCTTTTTATAAATTTCCTTGGAAATATTAATATTTTGCGTTAAATGATCCCTTTTGACTCTTCTTACGACCTCAATATTCTTTACGAAACGGTCTCCTTTTAACTTCAACGGAGGGATGAGGGTAGACCTTAAAATTGTATGCCCATGCCAATGAATACATTTTCTCAAGTAAGAAAATAAAGACCAATGTTTCAATGCTGACCGAAGTTTGTTTCTCTAAGTTTATATCAAATCCATTTTTTTTATAAACGACATGATGAAAATTTTCTTAAGATTTTCTGAAACCTTTTTTTTTTTTTTTCTTGTTCTTGTTGTTCATCTTTCTGTTGCATCTTCTTTCTAAACTTCCAATTCGTCAGGTTTCAATTTCTGGTATCTTCTGGGGAGTTATTTGCACTTAAGCTCAGAAGGTTTGCAAACCATTCCTGAAATATGTGTGCACCGACTGCCTCTTCGCCCATAAGTGAAATATTACCGGAATTCTGCTGAATATTTAAACAAAGATTAAACGCGCAGACTAAATAGTGTTTATGTGAAGTTTGTATTCAGTCAAATTGGATGTGAATCAAAAGAAACTAAGATTACCAATAATGAATTGAGTAAACTTCAATGACACTTTCCATAATATTGTGTAAATGATTGCATTGGGAACATCTCTTCCTCTCTCTCCCGACATCTATCTCCCTCTCTCTCTTTAATACTTATAATATCACCAAACCTATTTTAAAAACGAAATAATAGCCCAGTGAACATATAAATATGTGTATGAATCTATGTGTGTATATGTGTATGTACGTGTATATATGTGAGTGCATGTTTATGTATAAGTACTTATCATTTAAACATTAGCATCATTGGTATT